TAAAAGATGAAAAAATTAAAATAATAATAATTAATATTTCATAAATTATTTAAAATAAAATAAATAACAATAAATATAATAAGGACCAAATTTGATAAATAAAAAATTTTGATTAAAAAATAAATAACAATTATAAAAATAAAAATCAAGATTAATATAAAAATTAAATTTTAAGTGATGAAATTAAAAAATAAATATTCAAAACCATATATATATATATAACAATAAAAAATTTAAGAACTAAATTTAATATAATCAGTAAATAATATGACATTTCTAATTTTTTCACAACTTTTTAAAATTATTTTACATCTAAAATAAAAAAAATCTAAAAACCAAACTATTTTTTTCATTAAAAAATATTTTGTATTGATCAATTTTTTTTATACGTAATTATATATTTAATAAAATCAAATATTTATAGTGATTGTTTAATTTTAGATACTCAACATTACATCTATAGACATATCTCATAACAATAGCTAAATCTTATCCAACTACACACCAGGCGGAGAGAAGTAAATCTCATCCAACCATACCCTGTGGAGAGAGCGTCTCTCCTTCCCGTCTTTCTCAAGGCCATCTTCCTCTGTCTAGAACAATCTAAAGAGAATATGTGCTAGCACACATGAAAGGAAATACAACAAAATATCAAGCATTTCACGATGCTTTCAACTCCATGCTTTTCCAGCTTAGCTCACACTGTTTGGCCACAAGAGACAACGCATTATGAGAGGAACCACCCTTGCTTATGGTCTCTGCTGCACTGTATTTGAGTTTTTTTACCCTGTTTTTTATGTTAGTCGCTTCTTTATCTACCGTGATTTTTCTAATCATCATCTCTATCTCTTCCCTTCCTACCATTCCTTCTGATGCCAAAATGCTTGGTCGCACGGCTACACCAAGCTCTTCGGTTAGCAAAGCAGCATTCATCCGTTGCTCGGAGTATAGTGGCCATGCAATCATAGGCACTCCATTCGTGATGCTCTCCAGAGTCGAATTCCATCCACAATGAGATATAAACCCTCCCACTGATGGGTGGTTCAAGATGTCCACTTGAGGAGCCCAATCTTGAATCACCAAACCCACTTCTTGAATTCGATCTAGGAAACCTTCAGGAAAGCAGCTTGCCATGCTGCTAGCCTCACCGCTCCCTGCACTGAAAAATGACCCGTCTCCTTTTTTTCTTGAAGGTGAGCGTACCACCCAAATAAATCTTTGTTGACTTAGCTCAAGACCCCAAGCTAGCTCGACCGTTTGCTCCAAGGACAGAGTTCCACCACTTCCAAATGATACATAGATGACAGATTCACCGGGTTGCTTATCTAACCAAATAAATAACTCACCACTCCTAGAATCAAGTGGTTTGGGCGGCCTCGTTAATGGTCCAACCGGGTAAACCGGAGCCTTACAAAGCTGACCCAAGAGCTCCTCGTCTCTCAATGCTTCCAATGTTTTGGGTTCCAGGTCTTCCCATATGTTCAGCAAAATCCCATCACATGTTGGGATCTCCATCGCCATGCGAACGTACTCCAAATACTGTTGATCGGTGCGGTCTAACATGGGGTCAACCACATCTTCCGGTTGGACCGCTTTGCATCCAGGAATTTTCAATGGCTCCTTTTGATCAAGATATTCTCCTTGCACAACCTCATCAAGTATTGGCATATATATGGTTAGCGCTAGAAACCATGCATTCGAAGGAATATATACATACTTGAGCATTTCAAACTCATCAGCCACCATCATAGCTTGGCTTCCAAATAAGTCAACAATCAAGGCCGCAGGACGAAATGATAAAGCAGATATAGCAGACCGAAGAGCTGGCTTGATTTCACGCATGGTAACGCAAATCCGAGTAACAACAGCAGCATCAGGACTGACAAGTCTAGAGATATCAACCGGTGGAAGTTCAACGATTTCACAGAGTTTTGGAGTCATGGCTGATTGGAGAACTTGGGATTCTGCTGCTGAAGAATGAGAAACAACAACAAATATGGTGATGTCAAAGTTGTGATGTGTGAATAGTCGTTTGCCGAGTTCGAGAATGGGGATTAGGTGGCCTATTCCAAGGCTGGCTAACAATACTAAATGGGGTTTCGAGTCTGTCGTGTTCTCCATGAGTAAAAGTAACTATCCAGGTAGCTAGAGAAGAGTGGAGAACAGAAGATAGAGAAATTGTTGGAATAGTGATGACAGCAATATCTGTGGTGATGCCGTTTATACAGGAACTGGAAGGCAGGTCGACACCCTTTGTCAGAAGAAAACTGTGGTAGCTGAGATTTTAAGTGTGTTTTTTAATGGTTATGAATTTGAGATTTTTAGAGCCACTCGATATTTATATGATATTTGTGAGATTAGTTAATATATTATAAACAAGTTTAAATATTCATATTAATAATTAAAACAAACAAACAAACAAACAAAAACTTGCATTGAAAAGGAAAAGCGGGGACTTTTTATTGAACTATCAAGTCAAGTCAATTACATAATAAATTAACATATACTTATTTTAAATTTTTTCTATCATAAAACACTTTAATAAAATATAAATATTTATTTATGTTCAAAAAAATTTATATTCTATGCGTAGTATAAAACAAGTCAATGATCTGGTGTAATATTAATTGTTATTGAGGATTAGGATAAATAATTCTTAATTTAAAACTTACAACTAACTCAAATTTATTTATTTATTTTATGTTATTGGCTCAAAATAAGTTGAGAGATAGCATTTCTTTGATGAGTTGTTTGGAATTAATATATTTAATTATAGTGTTTATTTTGAATTTAAATGTAAATAAATTGAATTTACATATTTAAAAAAGATATAATTTAAATTATTTCATTTTCTTTATTATCCTCATTACTTTTATTTTATTTCTTCAAAAAAAATTTAAAAATGATAAATAGATGAGTATTTTGATAAATTTAGTTTTGAGTATTAAATTTTTCTTTTTTGGAATTATAAGTGGAGTTACCTTCTGATTTTTTTTGTATTACTTTCAGAAATTTGAATTTCATTTAAAATTCAATTCTTAATATTTTAAATAATTTTAAATGTAAAATTTTATTAAAACTTTTAAATTGATTCCAATAGAAAGATTTACAAACATAGTTACCTTCCTCTCTTGAGGCCATTTTCCCTTTCTTTCTTTCTTTTTTTTTAAAAAAAAAACTGTTTTCCTTTGCTTTTTCCCAAGTCTTCATCTGGATTCATTAGGTTTGGAGATCAAATAAAATAAAATATACATTTTTCAAACGTCTAATTTGCTTGTTTGTAACTATCTGAGTTGTCCCAAGGGAAAAAATCAGCTTGTCACCTGATCCCTTAAGAAAATAAAAAAAAAAAAAAAAAATCATTGCACTTGAAGCCATAATGGTGTGCTGACCAGTGAGCTGGGGGGCCCAAAAAGATTTTGAAAGATTGCCATCATTACCTTTTCCTCTCATCTTTCAGCATGATTTTTAACCCAAACAGCATTATCCTTCTTGCTTGCCAGTCCTAAAATCGCACACCACTCCCTTGTTTTTTATTAAATTGTGTAAGTGTCTTTCTTTTTTTAAAAAAGTATAACCATCTCCTCTTTCTTCTTTATTGAATTTTAATTATTTTTTATTTTTTAATTATTTTTGTTTAAGTTTTTCCATTTATTTAGATAATAGTTATTGATTTGTTTAGTTAGATGCATGAATAAACTTTTTAATTTACTTTTAGGGCTTTTTCATGTAAAACATTATGTTGAGAAATTTTATATGTTTAATTTTTTTATTATATTTTGATGTTTTAATTAGATTTAATCAATATTCTTATCATTTCTGATTTTTTTTCTTGATTATTTAATAAAATTTTTATAATTTTTAATTTTATCATTTAATTATATTTATATTGTATTTTTTTATTTTAATCTTCATTGTTTTAATTTTTGTTTTTTTAATGTTTTTATTATTTTTTATTTAATTTTCGAATTAAAAATTTATTGTTCTCTTTTATTTATTTTTGTGATTTTCACTCTTATTTTTTTATTTAATTTTTTATATAATTTTAATCTTTATAATTTTTTTATATATGATATTTCTAGTTTGATAATCTGACTGACAATTGAAAAGTTAATATGATTGAAATCTAATTGTTTTTTTAAAATAACATCATTCAATATTATTATTAAAAATTTTATTATCTTATATTTTTATCATATTATTAAATTAATCAAAATTTAATCTAGCTATTAAACTAATCATACTTCGTTGAAAATACAAGTGTTTCCTAAATATTTTCTTCCTGGTTTAAGATATTTAGGCAGCTATTGGGGTCACACCAGCAACCAATCTAATATATATTCTAGAGCATTCTAATTAATACAAGGCAAGGAGGTGGGACACAATGGGGACAAGGAATTTATTAGGGAAATGAAATGGTAATGGAATTGCCTAATGCTCAGACGTGCAATTTAGTATTAAAGACAGATCTTGTGTTTGTCTGGTAGTTTGGTAGTGGCAATTAATTGTTTGAGAGCTGGCTCGAATGGCAGTTAGATTTCCTCGCTATGAAATCATTTTAGATTTTCTTGTTAAATACACTATAATTTGGTAAGATTGATTTGATTAGTGAATAATTAGGTTACGAGTGCAGTAACTTTTATTTTTTTTTATGTATTTTAAGAATGTGATTTATTTAAAAAAAATATTAAATTAATATTTTTTTTATTTTTTATAATTTTAATTTATTGATATCAAAAAAAAATTATATTAATAATTTTTAAGTTAAAAATATGTTTGAAAAGCATATATCACTGCAATATCAAATTGTTTTTTAAAAATATGTTGGATTCGTCGTTTTTTTTTTTATGTTTTTTTTTTTAGGGTTTCTGGTAATGGCCTCCTCTTGGAATTTTTTTTTTAGAATTTCTCTCTATTTTTTTTTTCAATACACTGAGGTCTGTGTTTATAGTGTCGAAGTCCCTTTACGTGTGAAAAATAAAGTTTCAATCAAATTCATTTTCTTTTTTAAAGTTTAAATTTTATTAAAAATCATATTTAAAAGCTAATGACTATTGTTATCTTAAAGACAGGGATTATCTTCAAGATAAGGATAGAATAAAATAAGTACAATATACTTCTTAGTTTTCATACAAATTGAGAAATCACACTTTTCATCAAAATAAATCTCTAATCTTTTAATTTTGCATTTTAACCATGTAAAATTAAATTAAGAAAACCAATAAGTTAAAATTGGGTTACAACCATGTTTTTCTATCTCAAAACTATAACTAATTGTTTATTATATAAATCATAACTTAAATTAGATTAGATTATATTAGGTTAGGTTAGGTTAAGTTATATTGGATGCTAAATTAGAAAACAATAATAAAGAAAATCATAAGGTTCTTGAAGTCTCAATAGTCAACCAATAAAAGACATAATTTCTTGTAATAAAATTGTGTGTGGTTAAGTGAAATCGTGGTGAATTAATGTAAAATTGTGTGAGGAAAATGGTTTTAAAAGAATTTAGTTATAATATAAAGTGTGATTGAAATATTATAATGCTGAGAAATTACAATTAAAAAGGGTTGATATTTCAATTAAAAAGGGTTGATATTTCTAAAGATGAAGAACTAATGTGCACTTTGTGATTTTTCATGTAAGAGAGAGATGATTAAAATTTCAAGAATAAATTATGATAAAAAAAAAAGATGAGAATGATTGTAATATATGAAAAGTAGTATAATTGTAAATTACATTAGTGCATATGTTTTAAATGAAGTAGCTTTGATTATTTTGAATAAAACATAAGTGGGATCGATAAACTTTATAAAGCTGAAATTAATGATATTGTAACATATAAATAAAAGGAGAATACTTGTTTGAATGATGAGAAGATGAATGGAATGTTTTGTTGATTGTGAAGTTCATGCACAAAAATATTTGGTATTTTAGATGTGTTCAAAGCTTAATTGAATTTTCTTTTTTTGATAAAAAGAATTTAGTTTTGTATTTTAGCTTTCAAAGGAAATAAGTTACCATTGAAACTAAATTTTATAATTTTAATTATCATTAGAATGAGAGACAATATTCTTTAATGAATAATGTAAGTTGATTGGAATTCGCCACCTTTTATTGACTATTACTAAGAAATTATTGATTATGTTGAATTTACAACTTGAGTGCATTATTTTATATGTTTTGTTTGTTTAATAATTTACATGATCTAAAATTATTTATTATTTATAACTTGCTAGAATAACTTTTTGATAATTTTGAATGAATATATAATAAATATTTTTTTTGTATTATAATAGATTCTGTAATTATATAAACTTATAATGACTTGTTAGTTCATTATGTCATAATTATTATTTTTGTGATTATAATATATTAATTTGTGATAATTTTATTTGTAATGAAACATGATGGATGAGATATTCTGAGATTTTGTGATGTGATGAGTTCATGATAATTGGACATTACTGAGATATAACATGATTGACCATTAAAATATAACAAATTTATATAGTTAATAATTTGGGATATCCTGGTATAAGAGTTTTTATCGAAATTTCAATATTTTTTTTAATTTTAATTTTTTTAAGAGAATGTATAAAAAAATCAAACTTAAAATTGTAATATTCATAAAAAAAAAGTTAAGTGATGACTGCATGTAATTTTAGGATCCATTACATTTTATAACTAAAATGATCGAGAAAGGCTTAATTTATTGGATTAGTTATATGATCTTTGTAGTAAATTCTGCAATGAGCATTTGCCAAAGGAGGATGTAATGATGGTTTTGGAAGATCAAACAAAGTATCTTACATGCAAGGGAGAGGCTCACAGCTTAATGAAGGGGGATGCTATGGTTTTCCATTTAGTTCATCCTAGAAATTCAAGGTAATTTTACATATCAACCTTCTAAGTGTGCATTTGCTGGATAATTACTAGGATTTAAATTGCTATCATCTGTGACCATCAAATAAATATAAATAATTTAGTTGCTTCAAAAGTTATAGGATATCACTTGGAAACAAATCCTTTTCTATTTTTTCATCAGGTCATGTATGTATTGAAGTTAATTGATGGGAATTAACAAGGAACCAGAACATATAGGGAAATTAATGTAGCAATGAATAATATTTTTCCGTGCATGTTTTGGTGTGGTTAAAAAAAAAGTGTTTATGTTTTTTTTTTCATTTTATTTTTTTTAATTAATATTTCTTTTAATTTTATCTTTTAATATTATATTTATTTTTTATTAGATTATCTTATTCTCATAACACGGAATACAGGTTTGGCA